GATTGGTGGGTCTCATGGAGAGTGTTACTCGAGCGGGTTTGCTTCCTGTAGCACCAGCCGTCTCTCAGGCTGGAGGAGGGGCCTAGACTCCTGCTACTCGTACTCCGGAGCAGGGAGTTCCCTCGATTCAGACCCCAGTAGTTCAGCCGGTTGGAGCAGCTCAGCCGGGTGTGGTAACCCAGGCCGGTGATGGGGCAGCTATGTCTACCGATGCTTTTTGGAGGTTGGATAGGTTCACCAAGCTCTTCACTACTACTTTCAGTGGTGCACCCACCGAGGTTCCTCAGGATTATTTGGACAGCTGCCACGAGGTTCTTCGGAACATGGGTATTGTTGAGTCCAATGGAGTTGATTTCGCTGCATTTCGCCTATCTGGATCCGCCAAGACTTGGTGGAGGGATTTCTGTTTAGCTAGACCAGCAGGGTCTCCAGCCTTAACATGGGATCAGTTTTCAGTGTTGTTTCTGGAGAAGTTTCTCCCTATCACACAGCGTGAGCCCTATCGGAGGCAGTTCGAGCGTCTCCATCAGGGATCCATGTCAGTCACCCAGTATGAGACCAGGTTCATTGAGTTGGCTCGCCATGCTATTGTCATACTCCCCACTGAGAGGGAGAGAGTGAGACGGTTTATTGATGGACTCATACAGCCTATTCGTCTCCAGATGGCTAGAGAGACGGGGAGTGATATCACTTTTCAGGAGGCGGCCAATGTGTCCCGGAGATTGAGATGGTATAATCGCAGGGGGGTGGTCACGGGGGAGACAAGGGAGCCCGTCATTCCGGCAGATTCAGTGGTACCTCGTCTGGAGGTAGAGATTCATATGGTAGAGACCATCCTCCTAGGCCCTTTCAGTCAGCTCTCCAGGTTTCTCACGGTACATCAGGTGGTCGTGGTTCTCAGGCACATTATTCTGATCAGCAGGCATTCAGTGCACCGCCAGCTCATATCAGCGCACTGCCACTTTAGAGTTTCCGTGGGGGTCATTCGGGTCGCCAGGGTCAGCCTCAGTTTCCTCAGCCACAGCGTTCGGATGGATGTTATGAGTGTGGTGAGTATGGCCACATCAGGAGGGCTTGCCCGAGGTTGAGGGGTACTCAGTCGCAGCAGCAGGGTCCCCGTCCTATTATTCAGGCACCACATGCTGCACAGCCAGCCTAGCCAGCTAGAGGCGGGGGTAGAGGTACTAGAGGTGGAGGTAGAGGTCATAGAGGTGGAGCTCAGACCGCCAGGGGTAGAGGCCATCTAGCAACAGATCGAGCTAGAGATATGGTTCAGGGTGGTGGGGCCCAGCCCCGATGTGATGCCCTTCAGGCTAGGCCCGAGGCAGAGGCTTCATATGCAGTTATTATAGGTACGGTTCTGGTTTGTGATAGAGATGCTTCAGTGTTGTTTGATCCGGGGTCTACGTATTCGTATGTGTCATCCTATTTTGCCCTATATTTGATCATGCCTAGTGATGCATTGGGTATTCTTGTTTATGTGTCTACGCCGGTGGGTGATTCTATTGTGGTCGATCGAGTCCATCGCTCTTGTGTTGTGGTGATTGGGGGTCTGGAGACTCGTGTAGATTTATTGTTTTTAGCTATGGTCAACTTTGATATTATATTGGGGATGGACTGGTTATCACCCTATAGCGCTATCTTGGACTGCCATGCCAAGACTGTGACCTTAGCTTTACCGGGTATGCCTTGTTTAGAGTGGAGAGGGACTCCAGGTCATTCTACCCGTAGTGTTATATCGTATGTGAAGGCTCGGCGTATGGTCGAGAAGGGGTGTTTGGCTTATTTAGCTTATGTTCGGGATTCCAGTGCTGAGGTTCCCTCTATCGATTCTGTGCCCGTTGTTTGTGAGTTCCCTGATGTTTTTCCCTTCAGACCTGCCGGGTATGCCACCCGACAGGGATATTGATTTCTGCATCGATCTAGTTCCGGGCACTCAGCCCATTTCTATTCCGCCATATCGTATGGCCCCGCCGGAGTTGAAGGAGTTAAAAGAACGGCTGCAGGATTTGCTTGAGAAGGGTTTCATTAGACCCAGTGTCTCACCTTGGGGTGCGCCGGTGTTATTTGTCAAGAAGAAGGATGGGTCAATGAGAATGTGTATTGATTATCGGCAATTAAACAAGGTAACGATCAAGAATAAGTATCCACTGCCGAGGATTGATGATTTGTTCGACCAGCTTCAGGGTGCCAAGGTATTTTCCAAGATTGACATGCGATCTGGTTACCATCAGTTGAGGATTAGGGCATCCGATGTCCCTAAGACAGCTTTCCGCACTCGGTATGGGCATTATGAGTTCTTGTTTATGTCATTTGGGTTGACAAATGCCCCAGAAGCTTTCATGGACTTGATGAACCGAGTGTTCAGGCCTTATTTGGATTCATTTGTGATAGTGTTCATTGATGATATATTGATATACTCCCGCAACTAGGAGGAGCACGAGCAGCACCTTAGAGTGGTTCTTCAGACTCTGAGGGATAGTCAGTTATATGCTAAGTTCTCGAAGTGTGAATTCTGGTTGGGATCAGTTGCATTTCTCGGGTCATGTTGTATCAGCAGAGGGTATTCAGGTGGACCCAAAGAAGATAGAGGCAGTCAAGAGCTGGCCTAGACCAGCATCAACTATAGAGATTCGAAGTTTCTTGGGGTTGGCAGGCTACTACAGACGGTTCGTAGAGGGATTTTCATCTATTGCAGCCCCGATGACCAGATTGACCCAGAAGGGTGCCCAGTTCAGATGGTCGGATGAGTGTGAGGCGAGCTTTCAGAAGCTCAAGACAGCTTTGACAACGGCACCGGTGTTGGTTTTGCCCACAGGTTCAAAGCCTTATACAGTCTATTGTGATGCTTCCCGTGTTGGGCTGGGAGCAGTGTTGATGCAGGATGGCAAGGTCATTGCCTATGCTTTGAGGTAGTTGAAGATCCATGAGAAGAATTATCCGGTTCATGATTTGGAGTTAGCAGCCATTGTTCACGCCTTGAAGATTTGGAGGCATTATTTGTATGGCGTGGCGTGTGAGGTGTTCACTGATCACAAGAGTCTTCAGTACTTGTTCAATCAAAAGGAGTTGAATTTGAGGCAGAGGAGGTGGTTGGAGTTGTTGAAGGATTATGATGTCACCATCCTTTATCATCCCGGGAAGGCCAATGTAGTGGCCGATGCTTTGAGTAGGAAGTCAGCCAGTATGGGCAGTCTCGCTTATATTCCGGTCAGCCAGAGGCCGCTTGTTTTGGATGTTCAGGCTTTAGCCAATCAGTTCGTGAGACTGGACGTTTCTGAGCCCAGTCGTGTGTTAGCTTGCACGGTCACTCGTTCTTCATTATTGGAGCGTATTCGTGATCGGCAGTTTGATCATCCCCATTTGTGTGTCCTTAGAGACACGGTGCAGCGAGGAAGTGCCAAGCAGGTTACCTTGGATGCGGATGGAGTTTTGAGATTGTAGGGGCGAGTTTGTGTGCCCAATGTGGATGGGCTTCGAGAGTTGATTTTAGATGAGGTCCATAGTTCCAGGTACTTCATTCATCCGGGCGCCGCAAAGATGTATCAGGATTTGCGGCAGCATTATTGGTGGCGTAGAATGAAGAAGGATATCGTAGCATATGTGGCTCGTTATTTGAATTGTCAGCAGGTTAAGTACGAGCATCAGAGGCCTGGTGGTGTATTCCAGAGGATTGAGCTTCCTGAGTGGGAGTGGGAGCGGATTACTATGGATTTTGTTACTGGAATTCCACTGACTCGGAAGAAGTTCGACGCAGTTTGGGTCATTGTTGATAGGCTGACCAAGTCAGCACATTGCATCCCTGTAGCAGTCTCCTATTCTTCTGAGAGGTTGGCTGAGATCTACATTCGGGAGATTGTTCGCCTTCATGGTGTGCCCGTATCTATCATTTCGGACCGGGGTACGCAGTTCACCTCGCGCTTCTGGAGAGCAGTTCAGCGGGAGTTGGGCACACGGGTTGATTTGAGCACAGCATTTCATCCCCAGACGGACGGTCAGTCCGAGCGGACTATTCAGATTCTAGAGGATATGCTTCGAGCTTCTGTTATTGACTTTGGAGGTTCGTGGGATCATTTCTTGCCTTTAGCGGAGTTTGCCTACAACAACAGCTACCAGTCGAGCATCCAGATGGCTCCTTACGAGGCTTTATATGGTAGGTGGTGTCGGTCTCCGGTTGGATGGTTTGAGCCGGGAGAGGCTCGATTGTTGGGTACAGATTTGGTTCAGGAGGCCTTGGACAAGGTCAGATCATTCAGGATAGGCTTCGTTCAGCTCAGTCTAGGAAAAAGAGTTATGCAGACCGCAAGGTTCGAGATGTGGCATTCATGGATGGTGAGCGGGTATTGCTCCGAGTGTCGCCTATGAAGGGCGTGATGAGATTTGGAAAGAAGGGCAAGCTTAGCCAAAGGTTCATTGGTCCGTTTGAGATTCTTGATCGAGTGGGAGAGGTGGCTTATAGGCTTGCACTGCCGCCTAGCTTATCAGCCGTGCATCCAGTTTTTTATGTATCCATGCTTCGGAGGTATCACGGCGATCCAGCCCACGTGTTAGATTTCAGCACTGTCCAGTAGGCGCCATCACGACTCCCGAGGGTGGGAAATCCGGGTCGTGACATGGAGCTTGATAAGAGGGCAAAGGTGCTTGGTAATTTGAGGTAGGTTGATATGTAGGAGGGGGTATTGGGTAGGTTTGGTATTTTATTGGGGATTTTGTTCTCTATGCAACCATCACGGCACCCACATCCCTTTTCTTGGATGTGCCACCAGACTGTAGAGCCTTGTTGGTAGCCTGTAATGCTTCAAAGTTAGTAACCATACCACTTTTAATACCTTCCTCGATCCTCTCCCCTAGCTTGATGATGTCGGAAAATTTCTGGCCTTCAATCAACATCAACCTCTCGTAGTACTGTGGGTCTTG